GGAGCCCCCCTGGAAAACTTGCTGGGCAACTTTGATTCCCACTTGGAGACCTCACGGTGTCGGAGCCTGGACCACATGCGAGCGAATAAGGATAGGAGGCCAATGGGCCTGTCCACCCTTGAGGTTTGGGGCGAAGCACTACTGTCGTCGTGAGCCAGGTGTCCGTCAGCTCTGGCTCCGTTTCCCGCAGGTGCAGGCCCTGAACCAGTCCTAGCAAGAACTCGTCGTTTAGCCTTTCTTTCCACCTGGGGTGAAGCTGTCCCAGCCTAAGCCCACGTTGGTCTTGAAAAAAGAAAGGGCAACTCTTACAGTCGGGGCGTTGACCTACGAAACCCCAAATAAGGAACGAGGCCCCTCTTTCTCATAAATTGAACATCGATGTCCCATGGAAAACCTCCGGAAGACCTGAGGCAAACTGTCAAACAATCAAGGAACACCGAGCCCCTCCCCAACGAAAAGGGTTCTTTCTTCCGCGCCCCGACTGCACAGACTCTGGCTCCAAAGGGTGGGAAGGGGGAGCGGCGCCCGAGACTTCCCCCCCAAAAGGGGGGGGGGGGGCGGGGGCCCGAGCCCCTGGACGGTGCCTTCCAGAGCGACGCCCAGGTGCCCAGCATGGCCTTGAACACCTCGTGACCTCCAGTCGGGGCGTTGACCAAAGGAACCCTAAATAAGGAACGAGGCCCCTGTTTTCCATGAGTTAAACTTCGATTTCCCATCGAAAGCCTAAGGAAAACCTGAGGCAAGCTGCGAAACACTTAAGGAACGCGGAGCCCCTCCCCAACCAAAAGGGTTCCTTCTTCAGGGCGCCGACTGTACCAAGGGGAGGCTGTTGGATGACACGGGTTGCGCACTGCCCCTGCGGACTCAGGCCCACTTGCGTGCCACCCCTCCTCTTTGGGCCGCCAGCTCGGCCACATCGTTGCAGGATTGCCTCGCTGCCGACGCATCCCTATTCAAATGCTGATTGTCCTGCTCCCTCGCACCGTCGCAGGCCGCAGCTCCAGTGTCGGGGTCCTCTCTACGCGCAGGGAAGGCGGTGTGCGGGGGAGGCCTGGCTGGAGCAGACTGGTTCGAAGACCCTGCCTCTTCCGTACTGCTCCACTGCTCCACACACTCCCGGCCTCCTCCATACGAGCCACTGCGCTCCTCAATGTGTTCACAGTGTCGGGGGGGGAGTCCTGGGCGCGAGTCCACTGCATCACAGTCCTGCGAAGGTTAACCATGTCTGAGTCAAAGCGCCAGCTTGGCGACGCACACTGCTTCCCCAGACGCACGAGAAAGGAACCCTTTCCGACCGACAACCTGCAGCACGCCCACAAAATCTGGGCCGATCGTGAACAGGGGTGGCCACAGACATGCAGAGGAGAAGCTCAGCAGAGGCGAGCCATCTGTAAATGGAGGAGGAGGGGGAGGAGGAGGAGAAGGAGGAAAGCGAGGAGTTCGTGCAGCGGGGCGCGGCGGGTTCCAACCGAGGGCCCAACACACGGGAGGGCCGGGAACGATACTAAGGGCACTTTGCAACACCAACTGGTCGTCTTCGGGAGCCCCTCGACCACTTTGCAATGTTGTTTTCACAGGGGCGAAGGGGGCAGCAGAGTGACCCGCGTGTGCAAGCCCACCATTCCTGTCAAAAGCAGATGCAAAGTACACGTTGCGGCCAAATTTGGGACCATGCGCGGGAGACCCGCGATTCTTTCATTGTTACTTGACGGGGGTGATGACGGGGGGCCTGGCACTCGCGTCGTACCTCGCGAGCATCGCGCATCTGACTGGCGCCTGCATTTGTTGACGACGGCTGTTGATGGCGGCTCCTGCCTACGCTGAGATTCAAGTGCTACGCATGCGGTGGGGCGGGTGGGCGTGAGCGAGACGACCGTGGTTTGGCTCCTCCTGCTCCCTCCACTTGGTCTGGACAAGGGGAGGGCGCGAGGCGTTAGAGCGTCCATGGTTGCCCAAGATTGTTCCAAGAGGGCCGCGGATAGCCCAGCTGCCAACCGAAATTGCTCAATCTGCCCTTCAACAGGCCCCCTAAAAGGCTCCAAGACCACCCCATGATGAATCCAAGTCCCCACGGAGCGTGCTAAGAAGATCCCCAAGAGGCCCAACTCAATGAACAGCCTACGGTATTTCAATGTGTGTTGGCTTCCCGCCCTTTCATGTCCGCTGAGCCTCTGAGGCAGCATGATCGCCCAAGGGAGCTCCATGAGGGACACATAAGAGGCTCAAGGCGGCACTGAAAGCGCCCAAGGGCGCCCCAAGAGGGCATCAATTGTTGATCTTTCGGGCTCTAGAGGGCAGCGCTAATTCAGGCCGCCCCCCCTACGGCTTCCAATGGCCCCAATCGTGCCCCATGATAGCTCCAGGAAGCCTGTTCATGATGTGCTCTGCTTATCACTTTCCCTCCTCCAGACAGCTCGCCTGGGCATCGTTCATCGCTTCTGGATGGGCTGGCGGGGGCTATGCGAAGCGTCGATAATACAACGGCCCTCTTGTGGGCCCTGTGTCGTGCACGAGCTCTGGGAGGCAATTGCTTGCTGGCCGATTAACCAGCAAACCTTGAGGGCTGAGGAAGGGGGGGCGTCGCGGTCCCCCCAACCCGAGTTTGGGCAGCCTCCTTTCAATTCTACAATGCCCCCAAGACCCGGATGGCCAAAAGACGGCCCGAGATGGCCCCAAAACGGCCCAGATAGGCTCACCAAGGGGCTCCAGCAGAGACGGCTCAAGAGGACTCTGAGGGAACACCGCAGGGGAACCATGAAAATGCATAGCATTGCTGTATGCCTATGTAAATATCGGCTCTTCGGCCTGCAGGGCGTACTAGACGGCCCCAGAAGCCCCAAAAATGCCTCAAGGGGCCCCGAAGAGGCCTTCAAGACAACTCAGGTAGGCCCACGACGGAACCCCAAGATGGTCCCACGATGCCCCACACAGGGCCTCAACCAGAACGAGGGGCTCCAGAAGGCCTCCATAAATCCAATAGGGCCCAAGAAGCCAGAAAGCACAAGGAGGCCCCAAAGGTATTCACGATAGGCATAGTTCATATATGACAGGAGAGGGACTGGGTGAGGAAGAGAAGGATGAGGAGGAGGAGGAACGAACAACAATGATAATGACGAGGGGCAGGAACGAGTTGGGATGAGGAGAGGGAGATGGACTCGAACTGAGCAGCAGGAGCAGGGAGGAGGAGAACGAAAAGAAAGATAAATGAGCCGGAAGAGGAGGAGAAGGATGAAGATGAGGATGAAGAGGGAGAGGAGTTGAAAAGAGGATGAGGGGGAGGAGGATGAGGGGGAGGAGGAGGAGGAGGAGGAGGAGGAGGAGGAGGAGGAGAAGGATGAGGAGGGCCACGATGTCTAGTTAGACCAGGCGGCGTGTGCGCGCACCGGCATCAGGTGCAGATTCTGGGCGCCTGGGCCGCCGACGCGGCGTGACGAACTGGGCCCACCGATAGGGACAACGCCGACCAGCAGGGGGGATGAGGGCGGAAGGAGGCAGGGAGAACGAAGAGGGAGGAGGATGGGGGAGCAGGAGGACGGGGATGATAGAGTTGGACGAGGGAGGGTGAGGGAAGATGAGGGGAAGGAGCAGGGGAAGGGCACAGAAGGAAAGATGCGGAGGAGGGAGGGAGAAGGAAGGAAAGGCAGGACGGCGCGACGTTGAGAGGAGGAGGGGAAAGGAGGCTGCGGATGAGGGAGAGGGAGATGATGGCAAGCTAGGTGCGCTCGCGTCATATCTGACGTCCTACCCCTCCCTCCCAACCATTACCATGGCGTAGACTTCCTCTCTATTCGCACAATCGGATGTCGTAGCATGGTGTAGCACTACATCGCATAGCATGGTGTCGAAGATCAACGCGTAGCATGACATAGCGTGGCGTGGCGACGCCCCAACGTGGGCCAACAAATCAACCATTCGACACCGAATCGACACCGAATGCGTAATCACTTCCGATGGTTGCTCCAGGGGGCATTCCTAGATTTTGGGGCCAATTCGGACGGACCGAGAACCATGCCGTGGCATGGCGCTGGAAATAATGACGCCAGCGCTGCAGCGGGAACACGATTCGGAACGAGCGGAAGCGCGGAAATGAGGCCAGCGCTGCAGTGGGAGCACGATTCGGAACGAGCGGTAGCCCGAAAATGAGGCCAGCGCTTCAGCGAGAGCAGCATTTCGACAACCCCCCAAAAAGCGCGGAAGCGCGGACATGAGGACACGTAGCCTGACACAGCATGGCGTGGCGATGCCCCCCAATGGGGGGGGGTTCTTCGGCCCAGAAGATCAACGATTCGACACCGAATGTGGAATCCCTTGCCAATGGTTTTTTTCGAAGGGTGCATGTTCTAGATTTGGGGGGCCTATGTGTAACGACCGAAACCCTTGCCATGGCATGGTGCTGGAAATAAGGACGCCAGCGCTGCAGCGGGAACACGATTCGGAATGAGCGGAAGCGCGGAAATGAGACCAGCGCTGCAGTGGGAGAACGATTCGGAACGAGCGGTAGCCCGAAAATGAGGCCACCGCTTCAGCGAGAGCAGCATTTTGAATAAAAACAAGCGAAAACCCAACTTCCGGGAATCCTGTAAAAAACCAGTGCGCGGAGGGGAGCCGAACAAGCCCCGGACGCCACCAGGGGGGAGAGGAGAGTAGTATTCATATTGTGTACTTGCAAAGAGCGAAAACAATAGGCAGAGAGCGAGAGAGCGAGAGAGAGAGAGAGAGAGAGACGAAGAGACAGAGAAAGAGAGAGAGAGACACATATATATATATATATATATATATAGATATTGAAAGAGAGAGAAGCGAATTCAAGAGAAGGGTAAGGGCGAAACGACACCATCATGATGAGTAATGATTGTGACGAGGGGGAGATAAGGAGGAGCAGGAGGAGGAGGAGGGGTACTCAGAGGGGACGAGATGAGAGCAGGGTGAAGAGGAGCAGGGAGGAGAAGGGAGGAGACGGGTGTGATCAAAGAGGAGGCGGAGAGGGATGAGGGGGATGCCTCGTCCTCCTCATTGGAGCTGGCGGCGGCGTCGCGCTGCAGAACCTGCCAGCGCAGGGAGGAGCAGCAAGAGCAAGAAACGTCCTCGCCCTCCTTCTCCCATGCACCCCTTCTTGTTGCAACACTTGGGCACGGGGCGTAGGGTGCTGGATCCGTCGCGTCTCTCCTCCTCCGTCCTCCTCCTCGTCCTCCTCCTCCTCCTCGTCCTCCTCCTCCTCCTCCTTCTCCTCCTCCCCCCTTCTCATCCGCGGGGGGCGAGAGGAATAATGTCTAAGAAGGGGAAGGATGAGGAGGGACAGGAAGGGCTGAGGGAGGCAGGGTAAGGGAGGCCGTGTGAGGGAGGCAGACAGCAGAAGGACGACAAGGAGGAGCACGACAGAGGAGACATGCCAGGCCGTTCTCTCACGCAGTTCTCTTCAGGCCGACTCGAGTGCAGCGCCGAGGGAGGGTAGCAGCAGGCAGGGAGTGGCTTGCGCCCTCTGTTCTCCGCGGCCTTTTGGATCAGGTTTTGAGCCTGGCGGGGGCGGCGGTTCCACCTGAACCAGGCCCAGCGCTTGGGAAAACATCCATCTCACAAATAGAGAGGAGGAGGGCAGAGGAAGAAGACAGGAGACAGGAGGTGGTGAAGGGAGCCAGGGAAGGGGAGACACAGGGAGGAGGAGAGGGAGGCAGAGGAGGGGTCTCGCTCTCTCTTTGCCAGCCGTTGCGGACGACTGAGCTTGTTGGCACAATGACAAGCAATGCAAAGCCATGCGTAGCAACGAAAAGGCAATGCCAATAACAACTCCAGGCGCCGATTCGAATCAATGCCAAGCAATGCCAAGCAACGCCGATCAATGCACAGTACCGCAACGCAGTGCAACTTAATCCAGCCCAGCAATGCCAATCAACGCCGAGCAACGCCAAGCAGCACGACGTAATGCCAACCAAAGCCAAGCCACGATAAGCAGTGCGACGCAATACCAAGACATGCGATGCAAAGTAACAGCGCCAAGAAACGATCCATAGCAATGCCACGCAATGCCAAGCAACGCCGTTCAATGTACAGAAACACAAACAACTACATATAAATGCAGAGCAATGCTAAGCAGTGCTAGGCAGCGCCAAGGCAAAGCAGCGCAATGCAACGCAACAGCGCCAAGAAAATATTCATAACCATGCCGCGCAATGCCAAGCAATGCCAAGCAACGCCACGCAATGCCAAGCAATGCCAGGCAATGCCAAGCAATGCCAACCAATACCGATCAACGCAAAGTAACACAACAATGCCACGCAATGCCAAGCAGCGCCAAGCGACGCCAAGCAATGCGAAGTCATGCCAAACAACGCCAAGCAATGCTAGGCAATGCCAAGCAGCGATTCCAAGCACTGCCCAGCAATGCCAGATAATGCTTGGCATTGCCTTGCTTGGCACTGCTCAGAACAGCTTCGGAAGAAAGAAGCCCCCCTGTCGGTGCCGCGCAAGGTCCACTGCCCCAATCCTGGACGAGTGAATTTTCCTCCGCATCCACACGTTCAGCGAGTTCGTTTTCCCCGTGTCCCTGCGCCGCCCCCCGCGGAGGGGCAACGATGGGGGGGGCCGGCTCAGGGGGGGGGCGACGCGTCGCCCTGGAATCGGCGATGCCTCGCACACAGATTGGCAACAGGCCGCCGATCGCAAGCGACCGGTGCTGGGCGGGCGAAGCTGGCCATGCCAGGCCCCTTCTCGGCGATGCGTGTGCGGCCGGGGGCCCATGCGCTCCCCCACGCGGAGCCCCTCCTCCTCTGGCCATCGCTCGGACGTCCATTTTTTTTTTTTTGTTCGGATTCGTGCGTGGACGCAGGTGGGGATGCTCATGAGGCAGAGAAGTAATGTGCGCTCATGTCCCAAAGAGGGAATGGCCGTGTCAGTCGCGATCCGTTGCCATAGGCTCCAGGCGTTGTCGACATTACCCCGTGTTTCCTACACACGTCCGGCCTGCTTGTGTCGAGTCTGCAGGAGGGGTTATGCCGCTCGAGTCAGCAGCCGTGCAGGCCTTGGTGGCCACCGTGCCCGAAGGCAAGTTCTTGGCCCTGTCCGGCGCGGATAAGGAAAAGTGGATCCAGTTCGTCGCGGACGCGAACGAGCCAACGTGCCACCCGGAACTCTTCTACGGAAGTGTGGCGCGCCTCCTCGCCGAACACATGGGCTCGGCAGTCCCAGCAGATTATGCTGGCGCGCAGATGCGCACTTTTGTCATCGATGGTTTCCGCGCCGGGGCCAAGCCCTTCGAGGGAGATGGCGACGCGCAGTGGAGAGACGTCAAGATCACGCCAGCGCACGTGGCAGCTGCTTTGAAGTTGCAAAGCGCTGCCGCTGCTCTGGACAAGCGTGTCGCAGACGGGCGCCCCGCCAGCGGGCCAGCAGCTGATGGCTTGTCCCAGGCCATCGAAGCCCTCGCAAAGGCAACAAAGGACAGAGAACAACCCAAGAAATAATACTTGAGTTTCAATCTCAAGGATCGCCTTGGTGAGCTTGGTCTCAGTTGCTTGCCTAAGGATACGATCCCCTCATAGGAGTCACTACTTCGGTTGGAAAAGGCAAGCAAGGTTGCCCGAGAGCAGGGGAGGCTGTACATTGGCTCAGCAGAGGGCGAGGACCTCCAAACGTCGTTTTGGCCTTCGTGGTCCCGCACGCCGAGGATCGACGTCGCTGTCGGCGATGGAACCTTCGAGGAGAAATTGCGGAGCGCAATGGAGGCAAAGAAGGTCAGGTCCATGGAAGATAAGACGGCTTACCTTTGGTTTGCGACGTTCTACGGCCACATCCTCGATTGGGGTGTCAAGATGGTTCTCGCGAAAGTGATTACAGCCGCCCAGTGCTCGCTTACCAGATGGTGCTCACCCGAGTGGCTGAGGAATATGGAGGTTTTCGTGTGTGCACGCACTGCGACTTGCTGCTGAAGCAGAAGCTTGCCCGCGCATTGGAGCGGGAAGAAAACGATCAGATCGGGGAGCTTCTGGGTGACTTGGACAAAGATGTGCTGGCCGACGCCGAGAACATCGCTGAGAAGCGTGTTTCAGAGGTTGCGAGGGCAGCTAATAAAGTGAGCCAGAGCTCAAGCTCGCAGCAGGCACAGGCGACGCCAGGGGAGGGCACCGGCAAAGGCCCTGCCAAAAGCAAGGGGGCAACCCACCCCGCGAATGTCGGCCGCCAGGTGCGTTCCCCGGCGCGGAGGTCTCGCAGTCCGAAAGGAGCCCCGCATCCAGCTGGAGCTCTCAGAAGTGGGACAACAAGAAGTGGGACAAGAAGTGGGACAACAAGAAGTGAGAGGATTCCGGCTCAGGCCGCGAATCGTCCGAGGATCCCTCGGGCACATTTTTGAACGCGAGTGGATTTGCCACCGATTTTGACGAATTGCAAGCTAAAGTGAACAGTTTGCTGCAATATGTACACAGACTTAGCTGCGTGGCACCGAGCCAACACATAGATTGGGCGCGCGGTCTCCCGCCTTGTGCAGGTGCTCTGCGCCTGCGCGGTAAGACGCATTCGAGCGCCCTCTACGAGTGCGGGCCCACGCGCGACCTGCATGATTTCCGCGCTTCTGCTTTTGCTTTCTGGCGCGAGCGCAAGCGTGTGACGGACAAAGAATGGCAATGGGAGTTTACCAAGCTCCCACAGCGCGTGCAAGCTGTTCTAGGTCCGGATAAAAACTTGTGGTTGCTGGCGGAGATGCTGGGGGCATCTGGGCATTCTGACGCCGAGTCAGTGGCAGATTTGGCAGCGGGTTTTAAGCTGATCGGGGTGTTTCTTCCGAGCGGCAAGCTGCCAACATGTGCGCCTGACGCGCCTTTGCCTTTGGCATTTGGACCTGCTGTGGGCGCGCGCGCCCGCGACCAACGCGAAGCTGATTTTGAGGGCTGCTTCTTCTACCTTGATAGATGAAGAAGCGGCCGCAGCTTTGCGTGCGCAAACCGAAAATGAGGTCGCAGCAGGCAAAGCAAGGAGGGTGCCACTGTCCGCCGCTTTAGACGACGTCGTTTGCTCCCCCCGCTTTGGAGTAGACGAAGGTTGGAAAGTGAAGCGCGGCGCTGTTGTCCGGGCAGTCCGCGCCATTGATGATTTCCACGCCTCGGGAATCAACGAAGCGACCCAGGTGTCGGAGCGCATTTGTTATGATGATCTTGACACTTTGGCTGCGGTAGGCCAACTGCGGAAGGATGACGTTGTCGGCGCCTATAAAACTCTGCCTATACGGACAGAGCACTTGCCGTATGCTGTGGCTGTTACAGAAGACGCGGCGCACGCAGGCGTCGCGTTGCAGCTTTGCTCCTGCCCATTTGGGGCGCTTTCAAGTGTGCACTCCTGGCGCCGCGTGGGGTTTGCGATCCAGCACGTGCTGGCGCACCTGTTTCGCAATTCTATCCACGCTTTGTTGAGGATTTCTTCAGCGTTGATCGTGGGGCGCCAGAGGGCACCAGCCTCGCAGGGCCGTCAGGCACCGCCGTCCTCGCGCGCGAAGTCGTGCAGGGATTGCTTGGGTGGCAATTAGACGAAGCTAAGAGCGTCACAGCTGCCAGCGACGCAACTGTTCTCGGCATCCACGTCGCGTTGGATGAAGTAGGAGAAAAATTCGTGTTCACGGTGCCAACTCCGAAATGCTCTCAATGGGTCGCAGAAATTGAAGCAATCCTAACTGCAGGCGTGCTCACACCAGCAGCGGCGCAGAAACTGGCCGGCAAATTGAGCTGGGGGGCGACTATGGTGTTTGGTAAAAGCGCGAGGATTTACCTCGCAGCTTTGTTTCACCATTCGGCGCGGCGGTCCTCGAGGCTGTCTTCGCGTTTGCGCCGTGCTCTGCAATGGTGGCTACGTTTTCTGCATTCGGAGCCTCGCCGTGTAATTCCCGATGCGCCATCGTTGCGTCCTCGTGTCGTTTTGTACACCGATGCAGCGGGGTGTGGGGCTCTCGCGTGGGTGCTGGCGCACGATGATTTTAAAGTTTTTGCTCGTGCGTGGGTGCCCCGGTGGCTTCGCAATGGGGTGAAGCCGCGCCGACAACAAATCGGCACATGGGAGTTGATAGCCGCGGTGTGTGGATTATGGCGCGCTTTTTCGCAACTGCCACAGGCGCTGGAGATTTTTCTTTTCGTGGATTCCAATCCAGCGCTGGGCGCGCTCGTCGGGGGCACGTCGAGGCAGGTCGATTGGAACGCGTTAGTGACATCGATCTGGTTTGCTGCGGCGCAGCGAGCCGACATTCTCTGTCCGTTCAGAGTGCCGCCGGCCCAAAATTTAGCAGACGCCCCGTCTCGAGCCCACGAAGACCCTGCAAAGCTTGATGTTTTATTCGAGCTAGGTTTCAAGGAAACCCAGTGGCAGTGGCCAGGTGCGGAGTGCGGGACGAGCTGCGGTGAGAAAGTTGTCGCGAGTGCAAAAAGATACCTGTGTTTGGGCGCTCCAGAGGCCCGGGGGTGCTGGCGCTTTCGGCGGGCCCCCTGGACCCTGGCGGTGGCCTCAACAGTTGCCCCGGCAGGTCTGTGTTGTGGTCGCCCCAACTGGTTGCCCTGGCGGTTGCCCCAGCAAGTTGGGCGACCCAGAGTCCTTGTGTGTTTGTGTCTCTTGCGTTGTCTTCTTGGTAGGAAGGCTTCCGACGCTGCAGGCGCCAGTAGGAGTCCAATGGGGGCCCCTTCATGGCCCAGGTATTTTGACCGACGAACAGCGCCCATAGGGACCCGCGCCGGAGAGACGGGTGGTAGCGGCCTTGCGGCGGGCCTGTCAGTAGCCGCGGGGGCCCAAGCGTTTTGCTATGGCCTTGCAGTTCATCAATGCTTCCCGCCGCCGTTGCCGGGGCGACGAGGAACAGCCTTGTCGAGTGCAGGGCGTGGAGATCCCGTCAGCCCTCAGTGAGTGGTTCCACAGCGTTCTGGCTGGGACACCACCGTCTTGCCACCCGCCGTCGGCCAACCTAGTGTTGCAAGCTTTGGCAGACAACGGCGCGGTTCACGGGGGCGACTTCCACGCGCGGCGCTGGACGAGTTGCGGGGGATCTGGCCCCCGCTAGCTGGGCTAACCGACGAGCTTCTGCGGGCAATGATGTGGCGCGCGTCCAGGTGTCGTAGTTCAGCACTTGCACTTGCGCCTGCGCATGCCCGTGCTTCCAGCGGCGCTAAACGGTGCAGGCTGGCAGAGGAGTGCAGCGTGCCTGCGCCGACAATGGCAGGGCGGTCCGCGGGGCCTACCGCTGGCGAAGTTTCGGCGGCCATTGAAGCATTGGCGCAGGCGCGTGCTCAGAGAATGGCGCCGCCAGCAGAGGCTCTTGCTCGGGCCATTTCTGTTGCATGCAAAGTGGATGGTCCTCTGTTGCCGCCCGTCGCTGCGGAGTTGGCTCTACCATCAAGTCGCGCAACTTGGTTGGCGCAAGTTCCTGCGGAGACGCGCGCGCCCATTCTACGAAACCAGTTGTTGCTTCAGGAATTGGAGAACTGGAGACAGAGTGGGGCGGGGTATGCGTCCGCCATCCGATTGTGGGGCAAGCTCGCGGCGGCGACGGAGGTGCCGGAGTGGCCGCCTGACCAGGTAGTGCTGGCAGCGCTGGCGTTCGCCGTGCCACCCGCTTCCACGCTTTCCCGGTATTGCCCCCACCTGCGGTCTACGTTGCGGCTTCTACAGACGCCTTTGGGAGCTCTTGCTGACACGACTGCCCTCGTCAGGGGCGCCATGAAAAGACACGGTGCGGTGCCTCGTTTCAAGGCCAGCGCGTCGGCGAAGCAGGTGCAGGAGCTTGCTGAGTACGCTCGGGACGTGCTGCATGACGCGGAGCTGGCCGACAGCTGGGTGGTGGCCAGACATTTCACTTTGCGCTACGGGTGTGAAGTGTTGAAGCTCGGGACGTTTGTATTGCATTCTGAGATAGTGTGCCGTGCGCGCGGAGGCGCGCCAGAGGTCACGATAATATGCCACAAGCGGAAAATGCAGGACAGAGCAGTTCATGTGGTGAGGCAGTGCGTGTGCCGAGCGCGTGGTCCAGCATTGTGTGGGGTGTGTGTCCTTCGCAGACGCAGTGAACGCAGGCCGTGCTTCCCAACGTTGCGATACGAGAGTGCTTTAGCAGCCCTCAAAACCTCAGCGTTGGCGCTCCGCTTCCCGCGCGGGGCAGGATGGGGAACCCACTGCTTCCGCCGAGGGTGGGCCAACGATGCTCTACGGCAGGGCGGTGCGCCCGCGTTGTTTCACTCAGGTGGCTGGCGCGGATTAGCCGCGTTTGGCTACGCATCAGCGCAGACGAAAGGGGAAGTCGTGGCCGCAAAGTGGGCCGCTGATTTTTCGAGTTCGTCAGACAGCGGTGTCGTGGATAGTTGAAAGGGAAGAAAAATGATTCTGCCGCGTCGAGGCTAGCGCTTTCCAACGGGCGCGTGTGTGAAGGCTCGGGGCGCCGACATTGGGGTCCCGAGTGACGGGCGAGTCGAGCCTCAACAATGGGCAGCCTCGCTTGGGGGCTTGCTCGCCCGTCACGCCGGCAGCGTCTTCTCCGCTGTCCCAATGCAGGCGCGCCCACCCCAACGGAGGCAGTGAGAAGTTCTTCTTACCCCCTAAAGGTTCTTTCGTGGGGAAGAAAATCGGCGTTTCGGCTGTAGTTTCCCACGGTTGGTCGTTTGGTCCGTTTGGGGAGTTTCATGGTTTCCTCATGGCCTGGTTGGCTCCAGTAGGAGCGGCGGCGTTGGCGCGCGTCGTCGGTGTTCTATGGTTTGCCGCCCGGCGCGGGGGCGGGGTAGCAAGTTCCCGGCGTCCTCGTCGCCGCGTTCGCCGTGGCCACGCGGGCGCGCTCCTGGCGGACTTGGTCTGTCCAGTGCGCGTGCCTCGTCTGTCCCTGCGGGGTGTGCCGCGGCTCCGCCGGGCTGGGGCTCTGGGCCCCGGCGGCTTTGGTGCTGCCGTGTTTGCCCCCCCGCCCTCCCTGGTCTGGTGGGTGTGGTTCGCTGCTGCCCGCGCAGGCAGCGGTGTCTGGTTGGGGTGTGGGTCCGGCGTGTCGGGCAGCCTCGCTTGGGGGCTTGCTCGCCCGTCGCGCCGGCAGCGTCTTCTCCGCTGTCCCAATGCAGGCGCGCCCACCCCAACACGGAGGCAGTGAGAAGATTTTCCGGATTCGTGCGTGGCTTTTTCGCCAAATGATCAAGGATGCTCCTCGAAGGTCCTCGCCGAAGGAAACATGCACACGCCCGAGCGATGCCAAGGGGCTGGCCATGCCAGGCCCCTCATCGGCGATGCGTGTGCGATCGGGGGGCCCATGCGCTCCCCCACGTTCGGGAGCGGCCAAGAGGGGGGTGTCCAAGAGAGGGGGTGCAAATCATGACTGGCCGCACGTGCGCGGGGGGGGCCAAGGACGTAATGAAACAGGAAGAGGCGCCACGAACTCTGGGGAAATATCATGGCCCCCGCCATGATATCCACCCTCCCCTAGTCATCACCCCCCTCTTCTCCGCCCCCGACACGTGGAGCCCATCCTCCTCCCCCCGACGTCACCCTGACTCCGCCAGCCGCTCCTGCGCGGGCCCCCACGCCGCGTGGGTGCTCCCGCGCCGCCCCGCTTGCGCGGCGCGCGCGTGCGCGTTCGGCGCGCGCGTGCGCGTTCGGCGCGCTCGAGATCGACCACTGCGCGTGAGCGGCGCCCCCCCCCGCCGCCGGAGCAGCCAGCGTGGGCAGGTCGGGAGACAGCCAGCGGCCCCTGCAGTGTACAGTCGGGGCCTTGACCTGAGGATCCCAAAATAAGGAACGAGGCTCCTTTTTCCATAAGTTAAACTTCGATTTCCGATCGAAAACACAAGGAAAACCTGAGGCAAGCTGCGAAACACTTAAGGAACGCGGAGCCCCTCCCTAACGAAAAGGGTTCCTTCTTCAGGGCCCCGACTGTAGACCTATTCGGGGCACCCCCGAAGGTCGGCCCCCGTCCTTCGCGCGCGGTCTACGCTTCAAGGTCCTCCAGGCCGGGGTGTAGATTTCAGGGTGCTCAGGCCTCGCGAGGGTAGACATTTCCGGGTCTGCTTGGTCGGGGTCTACATTTGAGCCCCCCTGCGCAGGTTCACATTTTGAAGCCCTTCTCGCGGGTCTGACCCTGGGAGGCCGTTAGCGTTGCGCCAAGCCAGAGCATGGGCGGGCGCGGTTCTGGGTGTACATCGCCGATAGATCGGCGATAGGCCCCCGATGGCGCATCCACACCTTCCCCGGCAGGGCGGGGCTACCGGACCCATGTTGGCGATCAACGGGCGACTGGGGTCGACGCACCCCCCCCATGCCCACTCCCCCCCCCTCGTTGCCCCTGACCCCCCCTCGCCGCCAGAGCCGTCAGCTTGGGCAGGGGCGTGGGCGTGGGATGAGGAGGAGGAGGAGGATGACGAGGAGGAGGAGGAGGAGGAGGAGGAGGAGGAGGAGGAGGAGGAGGAGGAGGAGGAGGAGGAGGAGGAGGAGGAGGAGGAGGAGGAGGAGGAGGAGGAGCCGCGGCCCCCGCCCGCCCGCACCACCCGGGCCGCCTGCTCCAGCAGCCGCAGGGCCTGGGCGCGCTCCGCCTGCAGGCTCTCCTCGCTCTCCGGCGCCTCGCCGCGCGCGCGGGCCGGAAGCCATGGCCATCGCTTGGACGCCCCTTCCCTGTGCCTTTTTTCGGTGTCGTGCGTGGCTTTTTTTTTCGCCAAATGATCCTCGATGGTCCTCGCCGAGGGTCCTCGCCGATGGTCCTCGCCGATGGTCCTCGCCGATGGTTCTCGATGGTCCTCGCCGATGGTCCTCGTCAAATGATCCTCGATGATCCTCGATGTTCCTCGCCGATGGTCCTCGATGGTCCTCGATGGTCCTCGCCGAAGGAAAAATGGCCCTCGATGGTCCTCGACGATCCTCGTGCGTGGCTGCTCCTCGCTGGCCCTCGCGCCGAACGAAAAAAAGTGCACACGCCCCAAGGTCGGAGGGGCTCGGCTGCCCCGACGCGCGGCGCGCGCCGCGCGGCGCGTTTTGGCGCGGAGCCCGGCACGCCGTCCTCCTCCTCCTCCTCCTCCTCCTCCTCCTCCTCCTCCTCCTCCTCCTCCTCCTCCTCCTCCCCCTCCCTCCTCTCCCTCCTCCTCCCTCCTCCTCCTCCTCCTCCTCCTCCTCCTCCTCCTCCTCCTCCTCCTCCTCGCTAAAACGTATGACCGGCACGTGCCGAGCCCACGCGCGGCGTGGTGTGGGGGGGGGGGCGGCGTGCGCGGGGGTGGCGGGAAGAGGAGGGGGGGCGGCGCGGGCGGCGGGAGCGGGGAAAAGCAGGGGGAGCGCGCTGCTTCTTCAGAGGCTGCGTCTTCGGGAAGCGAGGCTTGCCCGCGTCCGTTCCCATGGCGCCGAAGGCGCCCTGGGAGGAACGGCCGAGGAAGAGTCGAGCGGCGAAAGTGGCGAGGACGGGAGGGGTAGTGAGGGATGCTGCTCGGGGCTCTCCCGCTGAGACGTTCACTCCAATTGCTCTAGACTGTGCAGACTCCCCGTCGTAATCCAGCCTCAAGCCAGGGTCAGGCAGTTCTCGCTTTGACCCTTTCGCAGCAGCATCCACCGTGGGCGGAGTGGAGGAATCACTAAGGCTAGAAGCCATGCGTGGAGACACCCGCTCTACATCACCTGTACATCGCCCGAGTGTCAAGTTCTCGCGAGAGACCTGGCGAACGGCCCCTGGACACGTGCGCGTTTCAGAAGCTTTCGGGCGACCTACGCTGCGAGAATGCCCCTCGCGACGGTCTGCTGGGCGGATGACCTGGGATGGATCACGGTCCTGGGAAAGGGGTCGAGACCTCCGTGGGTCTACATTGTGTGGAAATCACGGTGTCGGGGGTCTGGGGTGGCGGGAGAGGTATGCGCATCACCGCACTGTCGCTGGACGTGTCTCTGTTCGCCCACCACGTGGGACGCGCATGGCAGCCAATGTTGCCGCCCCCACATTCTCTGACTGATTTACCCGGGTGGTACTCAGGACGCGGACCACACCAGAACGAACACCCGGGGGCGTCCAAGAGAGGGACTCGCAAAGCATGGCCCGAGGCACGTGTGCGCGAACGAGGGGGGGGGGGGCAGCGCACGCGCGGACAGAACAGCAGGACGGGGTCAAATGATACCTAGAAGATACCATGGCCCTGGCCATGATTTCCCCCCCTCTCGGCCTCAGCCCCCCCGAGGACGGCCCCGAGCCACGCGAGGTGGCGCAAGGGGGGCCCGGTCCTCCTCCCCCCCCCCTCTCGCCCCTCTTGGCAAGCGCGCCCCCCCCCCC